CCAGTAGTACCTTAATAATGATGAAATATTTGGTATATGTTAAGATACTGTACCAAAAGTTGATCTTTATACAGCAAGCATATTTGGAAATCATAACCCTATGTTAAACATAGACCAGGCTTAATTGTTTCAGACCATATGTATACATGATCTCAGTTTATCTTTTCAGTAACTGTAATGAGTGTTTTTCTCCCCTTTTTTATGGATTACGGAAACTGAGGTGCTGAGGATTTGAGTCACACAGCTATTAAGTCACACAAGGCATAAGGTCAGATTCAGGCCTTCTGACTCCAAAGCCAGCTCTTGGATATTCCTGGAGTTAGTTTTGTTTTATTACTTTAGTGACTGTAAGATAGGATGAAGGAAAAGCTTCTGTTGCCCTGATCTGTTGTGTTGTAACCCTTTACCTAAAGGATATTTTTTAAATCATTTAAAATCCCTAGATGATAACGTTGGAGATGGTGCTTGTTCCTCGGCTTACTGTATTTCCCTGGTTTCTATAGAGATTTCTGAAGTTGAGCTTTGACATAAGAGGAGAAGGTATTTGCTGAGAGGGCTCATGTACCTCATTTCTTAAGCTTCAAGAGATTTTTAGCTTAGTTTTGAGGTAGAATATATACGGATGTTTCTCCTCGCTATTATAGTTAGTTACCCTACAAAGATAGTATCTTAGTTTAGCAGGTAGACATATGTCACATTTAAGTACTTTCTCATGTACTACTTTATGTACTTGGTGATTATCATGACAGACTGTTCAGTATATAAAGTCAGAGAGAAAAGAAGTATTTTGTTCGTTGGTTTGGAAAATTTTCTACAAATAGGAAAACAGTGTTTTAGGTGAGTCTTCCTAAGAAGTGCTTGATTGGCTTTATATTGAGTTTAGTAGCTTACGTTGACATCAAATATGTTGTTAGAGAACTGTTTTCAAATTTTATTTCTTGAGCAGAAGAGAATTTGTAACCAAAGCTGCATAAAATTCAATATTTCTAACACATTTTTAATATCATTTGCCTCTTGGTGCCTTCAGATTTCATAGACTGTAAACTTGAAGTGATCCCCATTAACAGTGTTTTCCATGAACTCTTAATTTCCTCAATTTTATGCCATTCCAAAACAGAAGTCTTTGATGATCAGGCCCTTCAGTACTTATAGGTGGCTCTTTTGAAGTTCTTGATCAACTAGGTTTCACGGACATGACTCCCTTAATCTGTGCTGCTAATCAATGTTTTGAGACTAATTGTTGCTATTTGCGAAAAATCAGTTTATGGATAACATCCCAGCTTAAGTATTCCAGAAACCAGAAATTTCATATTTTATAATAAGACTAAATGTTTATCCTTGGAATCTCAAGTATTTAAAATTTTTTACACTACATAGATTGTATAACTCCATATGGCTTATTCATTTTGAATATATATGTAAAAAAGGAATTGTTAACTGCCAGCTTTTGCAACCTAAGTGTATTTGTTGACATGTTCTAAAGACTTTTAAGTCCATTTATAGTACTTTATTTTATTTCACAGTTATTTTTCTCACCCCCAAGGTACACGACTAACTGCAGATACGTTCTCTTTTCACTTCTACATTTGACCTATGAGAAACATTTCGTTATTAGTATCTATGCTGTAAAAATTCTGGAATTTCATAACTAAAGTCATGTGACTTTATTTAAAACCAATTTATTTGGCATTTTAATTTGATTCAAATTAAATATATATGTATATATTTTTCCAAAATCAGGGGATCTGAAGTTCTTCTAAAGAATATCTCCCTTAAAAATATATTGTAGGGGGCTTCCCTGGTGGCGCAGTGGTTGAGAGTCCGCCTGCCAATGCAGGGGACGTGGGTTCGTGCCCCGGTCCGGGAAGATCCCACATGACGCAGAGCGGCTGGGCCCGTGAGCCATGGCCGCTGAGCCTGCGTGTCCAGAGCCTATGCTCCACAACGGGAGAGGCCACAACAGTGAGAGGGCTGGGGAACGCCGGGAAAAAAAAAAAAAAAAAAAAAAATTTTATATATATATAGTAAATGTTCTTTAATGAATTTTGAATTCCAGACTTGCAGAATAACTTCCAAGTTTATTCTTTGTTATTTTCTTGTATTTACTACGTTCCTCTTTGTGTCACTGTTTTTTTTTTTTTTTTTTTTAATTTTTTTTCACTCTGTTTATTTTAAACCCAAAGTCTCCAAACAGACCTGTGTGAATAGCAGACTTATTCCCATATGGTCTTGGGTGAGCCTGGTAAAAAAGCCAAATTGAGTTTTCAATTGGTTTAGTTGGCTTTCATTTAATTTGGCAGACTGATATTCTAAGTACAGTGAAAAAAAGGGGCCTGGCAAATATATCTTGAGAGGATGCAAGCTGTTAAATAAACAGTAGTTAGCAACCTCTTAATTCTTTCTTTATATTAGTAGGTCCAATCAGTGCCTTTAATTGCCTTAGACCTAGTCAGGAGAAAAGTAGGGAAACAGTTAAAAGAACAGAAAGGAGTTGAAGTAGGGGAAGCAAAAAGAAGTACACACACTGAAGACTCCTAGTTAATCAAACAGTTGCTTTGGTGACACACTGGCATCTAGTGTCTATCTGCCTTTCCCAGATTTGGATCGTCTAAAAGGTACCCTACTGATTAAAATTTAAAATGCCTTCTAGAAAATATTGTTTTTTACAATTCAGTAGATTAATATATATCTTCTTAAAATTTTATTTATTTTTGGCTGCGTTGGGTCTTCGTTGCTCTATGCAGGCTTTCTCTAGTTGTGGCGAGCCGGGGCTACTCTTCGTTGTGGGGCATGGGCTCTAGGAACGCAGGCTTCAGTAGTTATGGTGCACAGGCTTAGTTGCTCCATGGCATGTGGGATCTTCCCAGACCAGGGCTCGAACCCGTGTCCCCTGCATTGGCAGGTGGATTCTTAACCACTGAGCCACCAGGGAAGTCCCCAGTATGTGTCTTTTAAGTTTTGTTTGTTTGTTTATGTATTTATTTATTTTTGGCTGTGTTGTGTCTTCGTTCCTGTGGGCGGGCTTTGTCTAGTTGCGGAGAGCCAGGGCTACTCTTCATTGCAGTGCATGGCCTTCTCATTGCAGTGTCTTTTCTTGTTGCTGAGCATGGTCTCTAGGCGCGAGGGCTTCAATAGTTGAACTCGGGCTCAGTAGTTGTGGCTCGTGGGCTCTAGAGCACAGGCTCAGTAGTTGTGGCGCACGGGCTTAGTTGCTCCGCGGCATGTGGGATCTTCCAGGACCAGGGCTCGAACCCGTGTCCTCTGCATTGGCAGGTGGATTCTTAAGCACTGTGCCACCAGGGAAGTCCTGATAATATATGTCTTGATGTCCTATGAGTTTTGAAGTCATGGAATTCTATTGAGTATTTTATTTGATGATCATTGATACTTGATTGCTATTCCAGTAGAAGTTGGAAATAGTTTTCTTATTGTACTAATAATACTGCAGACTCTCCTAAGGCACTAGTTAGGGTCTCAGAATTGCCATGTTGTATCTGAACCTCATTTTGACAATAAAGATAATAACTGTCATTTATTGAGCATTGACTAAATGCCAGGAGCACTAGTTACCTATTACCCTGCAAGGCTAGATGGTATTATCACCATTTAACTGATGGAGACAGACCTAGAGAGGTTAAAATTTAACTCTGTTATATGCTTAACATAGTGGTTTAAGAGCATAAACCCTGGGACCAGATTGCGACTTAACTAGCTCTGTGACATTGGGCAAGTTACTTCTGTCTGACCCAGTTTCCTTATCTGTGAGATGGGAATAAAAATAGCACCTAGCTCTTAGGTCTGTTGTAGTATTGAGTTAATAAATGTAAAGCACTTAGAATAGTGTCTGGTATACAATAAGCACTTATATTCTTAGCTTGCTACTGTTATTCTGCTACAGCACCGGTCAGGAATTTTAGAAGTGATGTGGCAAGTTTTTGTTGGCTCCCTATTGTATGGGTTGGGAGTGGCGGAGACCATGGAAAGAAATATGCTGAGGTGGAGACAGAACTGTTAGAGAGCAGGTTTGTCAAAAGGTTAGTCTCCTGAGAACTTCTGAGATGTGAGGTGAAACCAGTGTGCTGAGAGCTTGCCCCATTAAGATTCTCTAGTTATAGCCCTAGGGAATGTGTCTCCAGGGAATAGTAGAAATGGATGGTGATAATGGTGTATAAGTTCTTACCCCTTAAAGGGGCACTGTACAAATGCAGGAAGTTAGAAGGCTGCCCTCCAATTGCAGCACCATTTTTTGCCTTAACCCAGAGAAACCACCCATAAATAAATGAATTCTGAAGGTGGAAATTGGGTCAAGTCCAACCCAGAAAAGGACTCATTGGTCACCATCAAATCCTGTCAAATAGGTCCTATGAAGAATTTTCATATCATGAAGCTATTGTTTAACTAATTTTACATGAATACTGTACCTGAGAACAGCTTTGTTAAACTGTTAAATGTGTAGGGATTTATAAAGGCATCTGATACAGAGTAGTTGTTGATTTTGGCTATGAACTGGTCACATTCATATGACCAGTTAGTATTTCATTTTATCTGTATTACGCCTTTTTTTTTAGAACTGTGATCCTGAATTGTTAGGGTCTGCTGGATTTTGTCCAGTTTTTAAATTTCTTTCGAAATGTTTTTAATCAAGCTTATGTGGGTTTTTTCTTCTTTTTATTAAAGCAGTTGCATGGTATTAGAAATCTAAAATCTTTTTTTTTTAATTTTTTGGGAAATGAGTTTATATTATTTTTTAAATTTTTATTGGAGTATATTTGCTTTACAATGTTGTGTTAGTTTCTACTGTACAGCAAAGTGAATCAGCTATACGTATACATATATCCCCTCTTTTGGATTTCCTTCCCGTTTAGGTCACCACAGAGCATTGAGTAGAGTTCCCTGTGCTATACAGTAGGTTCTCATTAGTTTTCCATCTTTTTTTGAAAAGTAAGTGATTTTACTGTACTTTCTCAACTTCATTTCCATTTGATTCTTGGATCTCACAGGAATCCTTCAACTGCTTTCTTCCAAGCGTTCCATTTGAACACGATTCAGGAATCAAAGAACCTCTGGGATAGGTATGAATACTTTCATATGGAATGCATACATGCAAAAGTGTATGCATGAACTGCTTTGCACTGTAATGGTTTCTCATCATTAAAACTGATCTTTATTATTTTAGGAGGGGGGAAAATCACATGGTATCTAGCATGGGACAAAGCAGCAAAATAAACCAAAAGGACAAACTATATTTTAAATAGAATATAGACATACTTGCCTTTTTACTGCACTTAAAAGTGTATTTTTTGAAGGACTTTTTCTATTGGATTTTATTACATGAAATACCCATGTGTATTTAATGTAAAAACATATTTTATAAAATAAACTACCTACAGTTATTTTAATTTTGTGCCATTTTATATGATTTCTCTGTAAAAGCCATAGTGACTCAAAGCAAAATGTTATTTCATATTAAGAAATTGGAGGAGGGAAAAGACTAAGGTATCAAAGTAGTAGTCATTGTTTAATTCTCGCCAAGAAAATTTAACCTTAAGCTTGTTTGCTAGAATTCACCAGATCTGCATTCTGTTTTATAAACCCCTAAAACAGTTTGTTTTCTCACAGAACTGTTGTATAAATTTTATTTTTAACTTTTTAAAATATAGACTGAAGTCTTGGAGTTCATGTTATGGCAGCAGATACTTTGGTTTATCTTTCTGCTTAATACACATTTTAAGTAGTATATGCTCTGTTCACTTATTTTGCTGAATATTTATTAGCACTCCATCATTCTATGTCTAATTAACAGAAGTTGAGTGCAAACAATGTTTTTAAAACTCACACAAAGCTTTGTTAGATTCTTTTAACTCTGCCTGGCAGTGCATTTGTGTCCTTTGGCATATTTTGGATAACACTCCTAGACTCAACTGCATCTCTTTCATTAGAATAGAGTATTGCTATGTGCATGTACATGTCATGTGAAGACATGGTCTACATTGCTCAGAAATGATAACAGTGTCTTAATTCTTAGGCTTGATTTACTGTATCACTCAAGAAATTTTCTAACAAACTGTCTTTTTGGTGATGTGTTCCTTACTTAACTTAAAAATGTTTTTAAATGGTTACTTGTAGAACAAGAAGTTTTAAAATGTGTAGTGCTATGTTTATAAATTCAATTTTTAAATTGTATAGCTGTAGCAATATAAATTGAGACATAAATGTAAATTGTGGCATGAAACAAGCATGAAGTTTTAATCATTCAAATGGCTTACCAGATGTAGCCAGGGTGAGTACTTTGGGGCGTACTTTATACTTTTCTCTTAGAAAAAGGAAAAATAGTACTCTTTAGAAATGTTATAAAGTAGTTTTTAGATATATGGTAATTTATTTCAAATAGCTAACTTTCATGAGCTACCATGACATCAATATGAATAATACCTATTATTTTCATCAAAACAATGTAGAAAGTTTTGAGCTTTATTTTTTATAATTTAGATCTAATTAAAAGATTTCTTTTCATTATAAAGCAGCTGTAGAAGTTGCCTGCTCATCATTTGTTACAGCTAAATATTCCTTATCTGTTTTCTTTTTTAGATACCAGAAACGTTTAAGGTATCAGAAATCAGGCAAGCTGCTATATCTGTAGTTTCTCATGGGTTGAAAATATTTTCTCTTCTCCTTGGAGCCTCTTGTCCAGAGCCAAAGAATTTTAACAGATACTTGGATACTTGTCTATAGTGTGTTAGTGCCAAAATATAATCAAAACTTATATTCTATATCAGCCATTCTTCACTGTAAGTTGGTACCAAGGTGACAAGCCCAACGCAGGAGAAACTGACTAGTGGCTTCCTTTTAGCTTTTCAACTAGCTTAATTAATTTTCAGTTGAGAATAGCAGTAGTGTCTGGCCTTATTAGTTCTAACCATCTACAAGTTCAGTTGGCAGGTATCTGCAAACTTTTTAATAGGCTATGAGCTAATAAAGTATTGTGGGACTGTTTATTCGTTTTCTTCGCAGACAGGGGTTGAAGATTAATGTGTGTTAAGCTTTGAAAAATAGCTCACCAAGCTGTCTTGTTCATTTTTGACTTATAAATTTAAGATTTTTAATATTATTAATAATTTGGCAGTTATCAGTATTTTTCAAGGATGATTCTATTAAATAGAACCATTCAGAGATTTAAGGGGCTATAAATTCCTTACATTATCTACTTAAGAGGTATAAATTTGCCTATCAATGTGGATATATACCATATTTCAGGCTCCTGTTTATGAAATCTTAGAAATCATTTTCAGTAGGGGCAGCTTTTAAGCCCTGTGCCAATTTTTATTAAACCTGCCCTAGATATCTGAAGATTCTTGGTTTTTGCCTTACTTGAAAGACTGGTATCTTTTTTTCCCAGAATTCTTTCAGCAGACTATCTTTTAATCAAAATATAAGTTAACTAGTATACCTTGCTCACATTGACTTAGAGCTCTCTAATGGCCCGTTCGTTTTCTCCACTATTTAAATTAGAGTTAGCAAGTTGAGAAGCTTTCCCTCAGTCTGCTTCTGCCTATATTTAGATATTCTCTCTTTCCATTGATACCCAATGTTTTATTCAGTTATTATACTAAAGTCGAAGCTCCTGTCAAGCCTTCCTTTCCCTTTTCCTGTAGGTGCCATCATTTTCTGTCTTCTGCGTTGTCATCAGGGATGAATCAGTCAGCTAAAATCATCACCAAATATAAGAATAATAGATACTGATAGCTAAAAAAACACAGGGAGCCCAGATTATTTGCATTGACTGTTTATTAAAATGAATAATGTAGTTTTCTGGAGATTATCTTACTCTCCAGAAAGTTTTTAAGCCCTGTGCCAATTTTTAGTGATAGCCTAGCCTATTGGCATTTCAGAATAGTAACTTGAAAATTTGACTTCCTGTTTTTTCTTCTTTAAAAAACAGCTTCCCAGACTTAATCATTATTGGCATTACTTTGTTAAATCGACAGAATTAGTTTAGAAACCTATCCTGATGATCACTGGGGAGCAGGCTCTCGTTGGGAGTCCTTTGTCTGTAAAAGCTGAGGGTAAGAATTTATAGTGAACAACTTTACTCTCTTGTAAATATCAGGTCAGTAAGGTAAAGGAGTACTAGAGGGAAGAAACTTTACCTCAGTTAGCCTAAAGGAAGAAATCAGGTAGCTTGTAAGGATTTACCCTTACTGATAAACACTTAAAAGTGTTTCTGCCTCAATGAAGAAAATACTTAAATGTAGTTAACAAATGAGAGTAACAGTTGCTAGGTGCACCATCCCCTTGAGTCAGCTTGTCATTCCTCATGATAGCACCAATATTTAAAGAGAAATGAATAAGGAAAGTAGTATACAGGAATTATTAACTTAAAACGAATGTCTGAGTAAGTTTATGTCTTTTTCTAGATACTTGATGATTTCAGTTAAATTAAGTCTTTATAGTGATTACTTACATCTATTTACATCTAGTTTCACAGTTGTTGCATTAAAACGTTCTTGTTAAATAACCTCAAGTATTTTGTGTTAGAAAAGGCATCCAATATTTCCTGTCATTGTGAGATTTCATTTTTGAAGTTAGGAGTAAATCAGAACTAAACTACTCCTATGGCACAATTAGTTTTGTTTTGCTCATACTCCAGGAAGCTTGGATACATCATTAACACCCACTTGTTAACCCAGATGGTAAAAACTCAGGTTTCAGAATTTGGATAATCTAGTTTTTGAATGCTCGGTGCTAATGACTTTTTAAAAATCTTTTTATTGAAGTATATTTTGTATCAGAAAAGTCCACCATTCATAAATGTACAGCTCAAACTGAACACATCTGTGTGACTAGCACCCAGATCAAGATACAGTAATATAAGCTCTTCATGACCCCTTCTTGCCCCCTTCCTATTATTTCCCTCCTCTATCTTAACTTGCAGTAAGTGGAATCATACACTATGTATTTTGTGTCTGTCCTCTTTTATCCAGTATTATGTTTGAGGTTCATCTATATGTTTCTGCATAGTGGATCTAAACTACATAATTTTAAAGAATCACCAGGGTGGGTTACTTGTTAGAGATTGTTACTGGTTAAATGTTCTCTCCTAATAATTATACTCGAAGTACCTTGAAGATATAAGCCCAAACTGTTATGTAACCACACCAAATATATTTCCTAATAATTTGTACCTAGTACTTACATAATTTATTATCTGATTATATTTTGACCAATTTCAGTTAAGGATATCTAGTAGAGGATAATCAGAGATGCTAAAAATTAGAGGAAAAGTTTTTAATGGCCTGTCATCTTTTTAGGACTGGATCTCAGATTTAGATGAAAACCTAAGAACATGCTTATAAAATGTTCAGATGACGTTAAAGCAGGAAGTCATAGCTATTATTGGGTGATAACATTTGTGAATTTAACAGTCTAAAGTATGTGCAGCAATTGAGAAAGTGAAAGAACGTGTATGTAAATTCAGGGAGGTTGAAACTTAAGTTGAATAGGTAGAGTAAAAAGTACCTAGATACTAGTTGGCTGCATTTTACAGTAATTGGTTAGCAAGTGACAAGCCTGCTACAAAAGCTAATGTAATTTGATGCAATATTTATCTAACTAGAATGAATAGGAAAAGATGGTGACAGACCTATTGTACTCCATTTCTATAGGATAGTTACTCTAAATACAAAGCTAACTAGAAAATCTACTTTCTTTATATTCCACCTGGACAGCCAGGTGGGTGTTTCAACAGACAGGCTTGAGCTTACTTTCTGAAAGGAGATGGGCCCCCAGGGAAATAGTCTTGCCAATCACTAGAAATAATAAAGTTGTCATCCTATTAATCAGGAATGTTTGACTTTGAGGTTTAGAGCCAATTACTTTCAAAATCCCTACTGTGTGGAGTTTTATTGCCCCAGCACTTAATTCTGAAGGAAAAAAGAAAAGAGGTAAGAAAAGTTTTGAAATTGATCTACTTTACTTCTGTTTTGTCTTTGTTGCCCATGATTTTAAGAAAACCTCAAAGAGCTGTGAATTTGCTTAAGGAATGGAAGGCTAACAAACTATTCTCTATTAGGAA